GATGCACTAAGAACACACCGTGCATCGCTGAGCTAACAGGAAGGGGACTTTCAGATTTCAAAAATAACACGAAGAGATGGATGTGTGTGGTCATCTGAGCAGGGCAGTAGAGTTCTAACAGATGACCAGAGATGCAAGAAAGGGTGCTGGAGGCCAGTCAGGACACAGTACTACAGCACAGTATCCACACTGGCCCCCCCCCAGCGCACTATCCAAAGCACAGCAAGCGTTATGAAGAGACAGATGTGTGTGGTCATCTGAGCAGGGCAATAGAGTTCTAACAGATGACCAGAGATGCAAGAAAGGGTGCTGGAGGCCAGTCAGGACACAGTACTACAGCACAGTATCCACACTGGCCCCCCCAGCGCACTATCCAAAGCACAGCAAGCGTTATGTTTCTTGCAGAAGTGGTGTACCTAGAGCACACTAACAACGGAGTTAGTGAGCATTAAGCGCCTTGCCAGCACTGGGGACTGATTTCCTGCACAGTAGAGCTAGTGAGCATTAAGCGCCTTGCCAGTGTGGACATGTGAAAGTTACAGCACTGGGGACTGATTTCCTGCACAGTGACTTCCCATTGTAGACTTGGCCTGAGTTCTTTGACAGGTCTGGGAAACAATGTCACAGCTAAACAAGGCAGAACTAGTTAACACATTTTTTTAAGGAATCATTCAAGATGGCCCTTTACCACTCCTCCAGTCACAGGTTATGTCTGTGGGCTATGTCTGCAGGGAAAAGTTGGGAAAAGATATGCAAATTGCAAACTGCAATTCACGTATCTTTTTCCACTTTTCTTCCGAAAGAGGTTTTTCTGATATTTGGCCTGTCTATACGAGGCCAAACATCAGAAAAAAAACGTCTTTCAGAACATCCTTTCTTCCTCGTAGAATGAGATTTACAGGGATGCCAAAAAAGCACATCTGCTCTTCTGAAATTTTTTTCAGAAAAGCACATCTGTTCCTTGGATGTGGCAGAGCTTTTCCTGTATCTCAGATAAACTCTGCAGTGTAGACATAGGAACAGGGAGTGAGAAGGGAGGCTGGAAGAATTGTTATTGGGTTGTTTGGTGTAACAAGCCATAAATCCAGTGTCTCTTTTCAGTCCATGATTTTTTAACTAGCAGAGTTATGAGTGTAACTGACATGGCTGGTCCTTTGAAAGTGCTGTGCAGATTTCCTTTGAGGATGAGGACTGACAGGGCAGAGAAAGAGAGTGATCACTTTGTGATAAGTGTTCACCCACAGGTGACCAGGTATTCTTGCCTCTATCAGTTTTCTATGGGAATTCATTCTACAGCATAGTGATTGTCTGTTCTCACCCCAATAGCTGTTATTTGAAGTCTGGGTGAAGTATAACATGTGTTGGACTCGTGGATCTTGAAAGTTGTGTTTTGGGAGATGTTCATCACTGTAGCACTGGAGACAAGTGTATTGATTTTGTATCTGTTGTTTTGAGAGTGTCTGGTGTCTATTTGAATTGGTGTTTTCTGGTCTGTAGGGAACTTGCTTCTGATAAGCATGGAGAGGTTGAGGATTGTCTGAAGGCTGGAAGGGGGGGAAGGAGGTGCAAGAAAGATTTCTTTCAGAATGAGTTTGGCGTGTAATTGTCTAGTGATAGCTCAGATGGGTTTCAGTATGCCATGGAAGGTGACAACTACTGGTGTGTGGGCAGCAGCATTCCCTCTAATTTTTAACATCCATGTGCAGAACAAATTTTGTTCTGTGCACGAAGGCATGTGCAGATGTGCACCACAAATAAAAACACTGATACCAACTGTGGGTGCTTTGCTAATCAGCTGGTTAGCACCTGAATCTCTCCTGGGTGGCTGCCTAAGCACTCAGATTACAGGGAACACTAGTGCCAGATGTGTTTTATTTCTGTATGGAAGCAGGTTCTCTCAGAGCATCTGCGTAGCCTGTTGTGTGAACTACTTCTCTGGTGGTGGAGTGGCCCAATGGTATCATGCACTCCCACAGAATCTGGCCCAAAGGTACCAGCTGGAGCAGAAGGTGCTCAGCTTCCCTCCTGTCCCCAGCAAGTCCAAGCAGTGTCAGCAGGATTGTAAGGAGCTCAGTGCCCCTCTTCCCAGGAGATTGTGGGCCTTGTAACTCCCTGTGGGAGCAGGCTCTCCCTGCAGCAGTAGCACTGTGGCAGCAGTGGCTAGCTGGCAGGGTGCGAAGGCTGCCTGCTCCCCAAACAGAGATGCCCACATGTACATGTTGAGTGGCAGGTTGGCACTGTATTCTGGGCCTGTGCCAGCCACCCTGACAGGGAGCACAATACTACCCCCTACATCCCATGGTCCCCATCCAACACTCCCTAAACACCCACTCCAGTGCCTCTGTGACAGGGCGCCTGCCCTGCACTGGCCCTTTAAGACCAGGACTCAGGCCCTGAGCCAGGGCTAGAAAGAAAGAGGCCAGCTGGAGCTGTTTGGGCTAGGGAGAGCCCAGCTGGCAACTATCTAGGGCAGCACAAGTGGCTTTTAGAAGGCTTGTAGAAGCCAGCTGAACCCATTAGGGCGAGTGAGAGCCCAGCTGACAGCTATAAATGGAGAAGCACAGTTTGCTTGGGGAGAGCCAGTGGAGGGCTGACTGCAGAGGAAGCAGGAGCTCCTTGGAGGGAGACAAGCTGGGGAGAGCCAGCAAAGGCTGGAAGTAGGCCAGCCAAGACTCTTCTTGACTAGGGGCTGGAGACAAAGACTCTGGTTTGCGGGCCGATCAGGAGGCCGACTAGGTAAGCAGAGCCGTTGTGACAAATGCCTATGATGAGCAACCCATACAGACTGTAACTTGCCCTGAGAGGGGCTATATGAGGACAGTCAGGGGGCACTGAGGCACAGTGGGGGGGCTTGCACCCCTGACAGCCTCCAACACTCCCTACCAATACACACATTCCCTCCAACACTCTACAAATAGCATCTCCCAGGTCACAACCCCCCGCCAATACTCCCTCCAGGTCTCTCTCACATCCCATTCCAGAACCCCTCCCGATAAACACCTCCCAGCTGTATCCCCTCTTCAACAACTCACCCTCTTCTTGCGAGTATCTGTTGTTTGGAAACTTGAAACATGGCAATTTCTTTCTCTAGTGCAGCAGCGCTCAAGCTGGGGTCTGTGAAAGCATTCCAAGAGTCTACATTCTGGCTGTGTCTACACTGGGCCACTTATTCTGGAAAAGCAGACGCTTTTCCGGAATAAGCTGCGAGCTGTCTACACTGGCTGCCTGCTTTTCTGGAAAAGCAATGATGATCTAATGTAAAATTTTCATTGTTTTTCTGGGGAAAACTAAGCTGCTCCCGTTCAGGCAAAAGTCCTTTTCCGGAAAAACTGTCCCAGAAAAGGGCCAGTGTAGACAGCACAGTAGTCTTTTCCGCAAAAAAGCCCCGATCGTGAAAATGACAATCGGGGCTTTTTTGCAGAAAAGCGCGTCTACATTGGCACGGACGCTTTTCCAGAAAAAGTGCTTTTCCGGAAAAGCATCCTGCCAATGTAGACGCGCTTTTCCGCAAATACTTATAACGGAAAAACTGTTCCGTTTTAAGCATTTCCGGAAAAGGGTGCCAGTGTAGACATAGCCTCTGTGTCTGAGGCCACCGCCCCACTGATAAACTTCTGCCCCTCCCTCCCAATGCTTCTTGCATGCAGGAGGTACAGAGAGGAAAAGTGGGGAGAGGGAGATCTCAGACAGGGCCTCAGCCTAAATGGGGGCTGAGCACCCCTGGGGAAAATGAGAAGCCGGCTTGGGGTCTGCAATCAATTTTTAATCAAAATAGGGATCCTTGGGTTTAAAAACCACTGTTCTAGATTTTTTCAGACAAATGTTGCCCCCGCAAGGTCAATAGTACAGTAACAGGGAAATCTTAGGTCACGTCTACACTAAAAGGGAACATCCAATCAAGATGTGTAATTCCAGATAGGTTAAATTACGTAGCCGGAGTCAATGTACTGTATTTTAAGTTTCCACGCCATCCCCACAGCAGGAGGCCAATAGGAGCAAACGCTGCTGTTGGCTTTGGGTGGAGAGGGTCCTCAGAGTTCAATTTAGTGAGTCTTAACTAGACTCACTAAATCAAACTCTGGAAGATAGATCATGGTCATGTCAATCGTCCGTTTAGTGAAGACATGGCCTTAGAATACAGGAAAATTCATAGTGAACAGTGCACATTTCCTTTACACCCCAGTACATAGCACCACCACCGGTCTGTCACACCTCACTATTTAACGTAACATAAAATTATTTCAAAACCCATTGTGGGCAGGTCCTACAGAAACTTCACTTCTAGGCTTATGGACAGGGGCAGATGACCGTTTTGCAGGGCCCCAGGCAGCATAATTCCGCGAGGCCCCCCCCCCCCCTTTGCCACGGCGCATGCGTGGTGGTGCCACGGCGCATGCGTGGTGGTGCCACGGCGCATGTGCGGGGCCTTTTGAAGCGCGGGGCCTGGGGCGGCCGCCTCGTTCGCCCTGCCCTATATCCGCCCCTGCTTATGGAAAATGTTTGAAACTTTATTAAATAGTAAAACAATGCTAAACTATACTATGAAACCGTTACAACATAAACCATATCAGGACCCTTGTGCAGGGGCCTACCCTGTAGTTGTTCAAGGTAACAAAAGTCCACATACACATAAAGCCTATCACACAAACTTTTGAAACTATACAAGATTAGAAAGATTGGTACAAACTGGATTCCTTAATTTAAAAAAAGTGACACTAAGTGGTCTTCAGGGCTCCTAGAGAAGTCACAGGTTGGTTTCTCTCTGTAGATGAAATTACCAAAATATTTAATTAATCAAGGTTTTCACTTTTGGGGGGCAATTAAATGGGAGCAGTGGGATGTGTGCAAGAAGGAGTGAGCTTAACCAACATCATGACTGCAACTTTCACCTTCTTCTGGGACCTTGAAATTATGATTTCCTGACCAGATTGTGCCAGAGAAAGGAGTACCAGATGACACTGCGCCCCAATTGGTATAATGAAAGAGAGAAGAAAGGAAAATTGATGCAATAAAAAGCTTTACTCGGTCCTTTACATTTCAATTCTTTAAATGTTTTTCTTTCTAGCTTCTGTGTCTAAGAGATTTCAAGGATGGTAATGGTAGTTGTTACAATGGAAAAAGTACATCAGTACTAATTTGAGATGAAATATCATGGCACTTAACTGTTTAAAAGTAAGTTGAATTCACTTTTACCATTTGTTGGACCCAAGACACTCTCTTATCAACACAATACCCTCTCTATCTAACAAAGCCATAAAAAAAGCAGAGTATAGCTGCAACCTCTAAACTAAATTATGTTCTAATTAACTATTTGACAATGAATGTTTTTCTTCATAGCATCTATCAGAGCTCTTTGATTGTGTGTATCTGCAGAATGTTCTTTAAGGGCATGTTTACACACAGAGCAAAATTCAAATTAAGCTACACAACTTCAGCTACATCAATAGTGTAGCTGAAGTCAAAATAGCTTAATTTGGCTTTTGGCACTATATACACAGCAGGAAGCCGAAGGAAGAACACTCTTCCTTCTGCTTCCCTTACTACTTGTAAAATGAGAGTTACAGGAGTTAGAATAAGAAGTTGTCCAGCTCGACATTATTTCCAAATAATGGCTTGCTGTGTAGACGCGCGTTGTGTTATTTCAGAATGTCAGTTGTTCCAAAATAACGCTGCTGTGTAGAAATGCCCTGAAAGCAAACTTTTTTTCTGAAACTAAGTAATAGGTCCCTTATGAAGTCTCACCACACAATTATATAAACCATATAACCTTAATTAGACAGAATGTGTACATGTGTCAGTCAAAATACAGCCATGTACAGAAAGCCATCAGAGAATTGTTCATAGGTTCCAGGGTGCCACCTGTGGGATTTTAGTAGATTCCTAAAGAAATGTAGCACTGAAAAAATAAGCTCTCAGGCATTTTACAAAGAACTCTAGTGCTTCACTTCAGAATGTCAGAGAATATTGGGGAAAAATTTTTTTTTAATTAAACAGTTTTTAATTTAAAGAAATAAAAAAATACTAAGCTTTTCTAAGTTTAATATACAAATTGGAGTTTGCCATCTAATTGGTAAACAGTGTAGTTATTGATCACCATTAATATAATAAAACCCATTTTTAAAAATATCATCCCATTCAAATAGTCTCTGGGTGGAATAGCGAGCTGTGTAGAAATGCATTTGCACTGCAATAAGGATATGCAGATACCTCTCCTTGTTTGGAAAGAACTAAAATTCTCTTTCAGACAAATAATCCAATCCTGAAGTCCTTACACAGTAAAATGTCCAATAAATTCTAGGAGTTGGATTTCAGCACAGAAAGCAAAGCATAAAACCAAGGAGATCCTGCAGCTGGGGTGCTGCTCTGGCACTCAAAACAGATCTCCCAACTTGGGCCAACTTCCAACGGCTTTAACTTACTGCAGCCCACCATGTGCTGTGTGGGCTTGTGCACTAAGGACCTATCCCCAATTCACCATTATACCTACTTTAAAAAAAATCAAGCCCTTTAGCTAGAAACAATGATATAAAACTGGTCAGTTTTATTCCAAGCTGTTCAAGTTCTTGTACCAAACCTATTACCACCATATGATCTACAAAGACATTTATCCCTGTGTAAATCAACAAGTCCCCCGTCATGGCTGTGGTTGGCCCTAGTTTGCTGACTGAGGCTCATGGGATTTCAGCTGCAGGGATAAAATTGCTGTGTAGATATTCTGGGCTTAGGTTCAAGTTCCAGCCCGAGTTCTGAAACCTTCTGCCTTGCAGAGTACCAGAGCTCAAGCTCCAGCCTGAATGTCTGTCTACACAGCTATTTTTCAGTCCCAGAGACTGAGACAGTGGACCCAATCCAGCTGCAGATTTATTTATCCCTATGTAGGCATCCTCCCACCCCCACTACCCTTCAGTGCCTAATGAGACTGTAGTGGGATTTTCAGAAGTACCTACGCAGGTTAGATTGACTTTTGTTACGCACCTCACCTGCTTAGGCATTTCCACAAATCCCACTAAGTACCTCTCTATATCTGTACCGAGAATTTGTAAATATCTGCATATCTTGCCCAAGGTCTAAGCAACCATCTGAATGCTACAGTGTTTAAACATAGGAGCCTAGATAGACTGTTCAGTCCATAAATGCTCATTCTATATCCCCAAGATGAAATTCAAGTCAGCACACATTTTATGAGCCATTCAAGTACTCCAAAGAGGCCTCTTGTTAAAAATATATGTATGTAACTGAAGTCAGTCAATATGACTGAGTATGAACAAGAGGCAGAGCTGCTTAGTATAATGGTGCCCTTTCCACAGAGTAGTTTTTTAGATCAGAACTGTAGTTTAAATGAGGCAGAGGTTCCTGTGCAAGCCATCTGTACTGAGGTTAATTTTTACACAATTCTACTGGTTAGAAATGGTTCATCTTAAATACCATTGTCCAAATTCATTCGGAATATTCTTTAGACTATTGGGTGATATAATCAGCTTTTGCACAGAGCAAGCCAATGGGCAACAATTTCTGTTTCAACACAACTGGAAAGCTTATTCTTTGGTAGCTGACTTGTAATGTTTCAACGTGCGAGCAGAAGGGTCAGTAGCTTCAATCCATCGTGGCATCCAATAATGGGGGAGCCAATCAGCTCGCCCAGGATAATGCTTCTCAAAGATCTGGCGGTAGTAGTAGCCTTCTTTAGTTTTAGGAGGATTAAAAGGAAATTTCTCTGCTGCTTTTTCCAGCAGAAGGTCATCAACCTACGGACAAAAGTGAAATAAAAACTAAGCTGTGAAGTCACTTTATAAATTATTCACCAGACCATTAGCTGCAATTGAAATACTGTCATCTCAGTGTACAAGGATTTACCATTAAACTCCATCATTTGTTAAAGATGCCCATTTCAGAAAGATTAAAAGCTTTCTAAAAGGTGAAATTCTGCCCTAGGATGCGTGCATGGCTCCCTTGAGCTCAGTGGGAACCTGATCTGCAAAACTTTATTGTGAATTAGTCCTATAAATGGCCCTATTAGTGCAATATTGTTTCTGGCTCCACATTAGGTGTCAACCTTTTTAAAAATCTAAAATTCTCTTTTCCAGTAAAAGTGTCTCCCCACGCTGTTATCTGCTTCTTGATAGGCTTTCTATTCTGCCTGCATACAATGAATCTCAATTCACTCCATTAGCACAACCCAGTCTGCAAGCCTTCTCATGGCAGAAAGTAACCCAGGAGTGGCAGTGCAGAGGTCAAGTCACTTGCAGCCTCTGTTCTGCCAAGAGCAGGGATGAAGGAGGTTAAATTCAGGAGGGCTTGCACTGATTTGGGTAATCTCCTGACCAGCTTCCACCACCTCAGCTCCAAAAGAGCACAATCATAAAATTAATCTCCTTCCAACCCAGTCAGTGGAACTGAGTAGGGATCCTATCAGCCTCTCTCTTTGGGGTAGATGCTGCTGCTGGCAAAGTTTTCCCTTTAGCACAGAGGTGTAAATTGCACTGGCAAAGGTGAATCTCGCCCACAGGCTACGGGCCTGAGTTGCCACTGTGCGACACTTCATGTAGGCAGCTTGTACAACTGGTGAAAGCTAGGCATTGGACCTTACCACTAATGATCATACACACAATTCCCTGTGCAGAGCAAACAAAGCTGCAGAATTTCACCTTTTAATCTCTTTTTGGAATGGGCACCTTTAATAAACTGTCTGGCTTGGTAAGAGATTTCATTGCCAAAAAGGGCCTAGCTACAAAACAGATCTGGCTACCAAAAACTGACACTGCACTGACTATGCAGCAGGTAGAGATGACATAAATAGTAGGGATGCAAGAGTTTAACCAATATGCTGATGCTTATTGGTTCCTGTTAACTGTTTAACGCTGCAACTCTGCTAGGGAGAGCGAGGCTGGGATGACTGTTCTCCCCCTCTTCTCTCTGCTGCACAAGACCAGGGGGCCCACTAGCACCCTTCCTTCCCCACTCCTACATCCCCAAGTAACACATTTAACTGTGTAAGCGATAGAATTTTGATTGGTTATATGATTATTAATGATATTTTTAAAAATGTATAAAAATAGTAGTGTGCGTAAACTACACCAGCTGCCCTAAGCTAAAGGATTTGCCATAGTACCACAGCTGCAACATTCATTTTCCACATGACAAGAATCAAGCAAGTTTATCCATAAACTAAATGCGCACACACACACACACACACTTGCAATCCATCTATTTCCTTCACTTAATCATATAAATTGCCCTACTTAATCCTTTTCATGAGATTTTATCATTTCTTTGCATCTGAATTAGTTTCACCTCACCTCTGGATATGAAAATGGAAGTAGTGTGGAGTACTTTTATTTCTTAAACTTAGTCTTACTCCTGTAATATTCTTGAACAAATGGTAGTTTGACAACTTTAAAACTCAAATATTTATTTTCTGGATTATGTGCAAATTCCACCTTTCATTGGCTGATGCAATTTCTAATAAACCCATAATGGCTTTAAAACTTAGAACGAAAGCATATGTTACTGTAGATAAGTGAAATTTTAACATAAACATGTACCTGGAGATCAATATGCTCTTGAAGAATTGAAAACCAAGACTTCTTGAGAGATGTTATACCATCACTGAAAGCTTCTTTGGGTCTCCAGAGTATTTCTTTCGGAAGCAAGTTGGAATCCTGAAAAGATTCTCTCAGGAGATGCTTTTCAACTCCATTCTATTGACAGAAGCACAATAATGCTGTGAATTTTCGGAACCTAAGTAACAAACCCTACAAGAAATATTGTAGGCTAGATTTTTAACACACATTTTCCCCTTTCAAAGATGATTCAATTAAAAGATCAGGCCATTGGCATCAGTACAGCAAAGCAATCAAATATGTGAACAGTCCCATTAAATTCTACAGGACTATTCATGCTTAATGCTCTGCAAGATCACAATCTTAATCTCCAAGATACCTTTTAGGTGCTGCATACCTTTGGAATTCTGAGTTCCGCTGGCAAGGATAGGTAATAAGATGTAAATCGGTGATCCAAAAATGGGACTCTTAGTTCAAGACTAAAAACAAAAGAAAAAAATTAAAAATTCAAAAACCTACAACATCAATCTCATGACACAGTTTAGAAATTCCATAACTGCTAACATTCATTTATTTTCAACAGCAGAAGGAATGCGAAGATTAATACTTTAGTATTTGTATATTTCACTTATAATCAAAACAATTTCCATGTAATAAATTAGGACAGCCCAGTAAGCGATCAACCAGAAAAGGTCCAAAAATTGTCACTGTTATGCTGCCATCTACTGGAAAAATTATGACATAATGCAAAATGTAGAAATCCTCTTACTGCAGGTTCCAGAGACCTCCATAAAACAATGCATTTTGCATATAAACACTGACAAAATCCTGTAATCCTAAAAGATCTGTCAAGAAACAGCAAACTACCTGTGAGGAGATACATCAGCGTGTTTTAAGCTGTTGCAGAATCTGGTAAGGTTTACCCAAAAGCATACCCGAGTTTGGCTTTCAAACTTGATAGCAGTAAGAGGCACCTATGGGAACCATAAAGACATTGCCTAGTGATTCTGCAATGCTCTCATGCAGAATTC